GTGTGGGTGTGGGTGTGGTGTGGGTGTGGGTGTGGGTGTGGGTGTGGGTGTGGTGTGGGTGGGTGGGTGTGGATGTTAATTACAAATAAATGTAATACCTGCAGTCACACCTACATCCTTAATATCAACACAATAGATCAAGTCAAATAAATTAACAAATTTATTTATTTTAGAAATAGTTTTATTTACACAATATATTAATTCGATCTATTGCATTTTATCTTATGATTCATTTTATTTATTCATATACACACCATTTAAATACGAAAATACTTTTACACTTTACTTTAATATCTTCTTAGATTATCTCATCTTCAACAGAATCTAAAACTTACTTCTATATGCATCTCAATCGAATCACAAAATTTTATTTTATTATTTTAAAAAATTAAATCGAAACGGATATTTATCAACAGATCAAATTTTATTTAATTATTAAAAAAAAATCATTTCGAATATTTACATTTATTTAGTTTTCAATCAAAATATTTTTACAAAACTTTTTATTATTCATTTTATCATCAGCATCAACAAATTTAATTCAGATCTATTTCAAATTTTTGTATTCGATCATTCCAATAATCGACAACATAAAGATTACCTTGAACATCAAATGATAAACCTGTGGGACCATAATATATTTATTGTATTTCTTAACAAAAAAAATATTTGTTAGTTATTCACTTGATTGATTTTTTAAAGAGGGAAGGACAGATTTTTTTCTTATGGAATAAATTACGAGTAAATATTTCGGTATACTCAAACGATTATTAATTCCATAGCTTCCTACACAATATACATTAATAATCAGAATAAAACCTATGCAAAAAAGGAATAAACAAAGTAATATTTTCATATGAATTAGAAAAATCTAATGTGTTTATTTTTCTTTCTATAAAAAATTTTATGAAAATAAAAATAAATATACTGAAAAAAACATCATTTTTCTTAATATTTTCTATATAAATATACTTCTCATTTCAATTTATTTGTTTTTAATTAAATATTATTATCAATTCTCGATAATTATTTATTACAAAGTTGATCTACTAAAATAGGATGTGGGTGTGGGTAAGATAAGTAATATACACCTACACCCACTCCTTATAACGTATGAAACAGTTACATTTATTGGTGACAATGAAACCTTATAAACAGTGTCTACTACAAGAAATATTTCAAAAATACTCTTCTTAGCGATGTGATGTGTGATTGTGCAATTACATGTTATTGCACAATCGTCATGCAATTCTCGTGCTATAGAAAACTATATAAACTGCTGTTTTACTTCACAAATGATATACAACTTATATTAAAAATATAGTATTTATTAGTATAGTCTGGAAATATTAAGTCATATCAACCTTTTACAACCGTTCTTTTTAAGGTTCTACATATTATAATTCATTCATAATCAGATAATGGTAGCTGTTACTCGTGCTGCGTTAGCTCGTCAACTGCAATCAACAAAGACAACTCGTGCTGTTGTATCACGAGTTGTAAGAAAAAAGTCTACTAAACAAAAGAAAAGAATAGTTAAACAACGTGCAACAAAAACATCTACCACTTCAGCACCATTGCAACCATTTAATGACGTCGCAGGCAAAAGTAATATTACTAATGCCATTGGATATGATCGTTTCGGGAATGCAACAGGAAGAGAATATGATTTGGGTCGAGATGGAGCATTTATGGGGTTTAATGTTTTGATTGCACAATTCTATTGGGATTCTCAATTTAATGACACAGCAATACAAGTACCGATAGATGAGTTAAAAAAGAAAGGTTTTCAAGTGAAACATATTAAAACGGAGGATGAATGTATAACAGAACTTGCCTCAAATCGTTATCAAATCACATGGATTATTAGTGGTATTAGGCCAATTCAAAATCCAAAATTTATTCCATCTTTAACAGCTTTTCATTCGGCTGGTGGTGCTATTTTTTTATTTGCTGATAATACACCAGGCGTATATCATGCATCTGAATTTCTTAAAACAAAATTTGGTATTACTGTCGATGGAAATTATTATGGCGGACAAACAATGACATACAAAGAAGATGGTCATCGGGGAAAAGGAAATTTCGGTCAACATGAAATTTTTACTGGTATCACAAGTTTATTCGAGGGTATCACTATATCTCATCCAGTATATTCAACAACAGTAAGTCGCGAGATATTCATTCCAATAGCAACTGCTAGTGATGGTAATACTAGTATTGCAACGTATGATCCACCTTCGACATCAACAGAAGGACGATTATGTTTAGATTGTGGCTTTACAAAATTGTATGTTAATTGGGATTCAGCAGGTACAGCTCGGTACATTGTTAACGCCAGTTGTTGGCTTTTAGGAATTGGAAAACATTAGAAATAGAAGAAAAAGAGATAATAAAATATAGATATTTTTTTTTCATAAACATTTGTTTGAATAAAAGAGAATTATCAGGGTTAATATCTTTGATAAAAAATACTTGAAATGTTTCTTAGGGTGTAGGTATAGGAATATCTGCAATAGAACACATCTATTCTCGAATAACACAATATTGTCTCATGAATATAATTAAACAGAAAAAAATCATGAAGCTAACATATCTCAGTACAATGGATAACAATTATGTGTTCTTCTTGAATACGTAGCATAGAATATTTATATATTTTCTTGTCTTTTCAATTAACTCGATCAGAAAAAGAGAGATAGACGACACGGCACTTATAAAACTATGCTTTTGTTTTTGTAACCCAGTTATCAGAAACGCTAATATTCGCGACGAGAAGAAGTTCTATCGTTTAGTCTATGATAACTAAAAGTGTTTTCTGATTCTCATGTGCTTAATCTATGGCATTTATAAACAAGAAAGAGAACTGATGACATCCATTCCTTACTGATTCGAGTACGTATCTGTTTTATATAATAGAACAAAAATAAAACGTCATATCACACGCATATCATCTCGTTCTATAAGTACAGAAAAGAAAATTATATCGCATATCATATCAAGAATAATATTGAATTAACAATGGAACAATCAGTCTCAATAGAAGAAGCAAAACCAACGGTAACCAAAAGAAATAATATTTGTTCATGGCTTCAACGTATTGTTAATATTGATGATGTACCAAATCAAATACATTATTATGCTGGATTTATCATTGGTACAAGTGCTTTACAGATATTTATTCATCTCTTAACATATATCAACATTTTTTGGAATGGTCGACCTTTTCGGTTTACTTTATCTTATCTTTTTATATTTTTTGTTCCATGTATGCGACCAACCAGTGATGTTAGTTGTGGTTCATTGATAAGAAATACAACATGCGATTATGATAATAGACTCAAACATATATGTTTCTCTTTCATGTATCCACATCAACTATGGAGATTTTTTTCTGGTGCTCTGTTTCATATGGTTTGGTATCATCTACTAACTAATATTTCTAAACAACTCCTTTATGGAATTCTACTAGAACGTAAATATGGTTCAGTTCGTGTGGCTATTTTATACTGGCTTTCAAATATCAGTGCTAGTTTAAGTTTCATGCTAAAAAATGGAAAAAGAGGTATGTAAATCAGAACTTCTTTGTGTGTTTTTAATAAGTTTGTTTTTCTTTTTAGCTGGTATGGGCGCTTCTGGTTCTATTTATGGTCTAATGATATTCTTCGTTATGGATCGACTTGTTGCTATACAAGAAAAGACCGAACGTCGTTTGTTCGTACTATTGCAAATATTCTTACTGGTGATACTTCCAAATGCCCCAACTATGATTATAATAAGTATTTTGAAGTTTCCAGTCGGGCATTCAGCTCATTTTGGTGGTGGTTTAGTAGGTTTTTTACTTGGTGTTGGTATATTAGGTTGTCATTTGCCTTGGATTAATCATCAGTGTCGCTATGGAATAATACATAAATACATAGCATTTTCTTTACTCTTTATTTATTTTCTTACAACTTTAACTATCTTTTTCGTAAATGACGCTCCTAATGTCTCCTACATTTTAATCTAGAAGACAATTGAAATCATGTATATTCATCTTTTCTATTCTTTAAAAATTTTATTGTAAATATTTTTACTACTTATCATATTTAAACAGTTGTCTTTTGTAAGGTAGTTATGAAATATGCTATCATTTTAAGATTTTCTCTTAATAATAAATCATGAATAAAAATAATAAATGAGTACTTTTTTCTGAGTAAGCAAGTTTATTAAATAGGAATAGAAGAAAGAAAAGAAACAGTACGAGTTTAATTCCATTGAATGTAAAATATATCTAATTTTCGAAAGATTGTATAATTCTTCAATAACTTCTTCGAATCGATCATTTCATATAATTTTTCAATGAGATCAGTTGATAATCAAGAAAATCTTTATTGTGTTGATTATTTCAATCATCAAATTCAAAAATTTCAAATTAAAAATATATTTATTTTTGAAAATAAATCAAAAATATTAATTTAGGAAAAATTTTTAACTAAAATAGACGAAATGGAATTAAAAAATTTCTTCTAATGAAATATATGAATATTTTTTAATTTTAATTTTAAATTGAAAAACCAAAGTGAATAAAATATTTTTCAAATTTGAGAAAAACATTTAAATTAATAAAAAATACTTCGTAATAGAAATTTTATTAGATTTGTTTTTGTGGTTCCATGGTTTATTGAGAGAAGAAAACAGATAAAACAATAAGAATGGAATTTGTCAAAATGGAAAAAATTATTTTAACAATTAAATATTTAAAATATAATAAAGAATCAAAATGAAAATTGAAGAGAAAAAATCAATTCGAAATTTCAATTGTTTAATAAACAATTTCTCGTTTATTTAAATAAAACTTCTTTCATCAATAGAAAGAGTGATGGTATTCTCTTTGTACTGCCAACTTTCACATTCAGGCTCAGGAAGCTTGCACTAATTGTATGCTTAGATCGCCATTTACTCAACAAGCACTTTCGAGAAGCATCTACGTCACTTGAATCCACTTTTGTTTCGCGCACTTTCATGATTTTCCAAGTCGCTAAAGTGTTGATCACATCTTTTTCCGTTAATGACAATGATATTCTGCTCATTTCTGTTGTGCGAGCCTTAAACAAAACACACCATCTGTAGTGCGAGAAGCATTGAATGATTTTGTTTCTTGCAGAAAAGTCAGGCATAGCAGAAAAGAATAAAAACAGATGGGAAACGTTTCTAATTATTGATGCTAGCAGAAAGCCTTGACGCATTTCTTTAAAATCATGAGTTTCAATCAACAACAACAACAAGTCATGGACACTCTCAAAGGATTCAATCCGATGGAAAAAGAATGGATACAATGAGATTCATGTCAGATTCCAGCCTAGATTACATCGAAAACAGATTCGATCAGTTCTCCTCTGAACTGTAGGTATCCATGTACACGAATCCGTCTAACTCAACGTTTGAATAAAAATCAGAAGTCACTAACTTCAACACAGATACGGTTGCATTTCGCAAGATTTCATATTTTAATTAAAAGAAAAAAACTAAATCCTCTAGTGTTTCTCTCTCCAACAGCAGCAATCTTCCATCAAATACACTCACATATACTCTTATTGCCAAAAACAAATTCTTCAAAGGATCTTGTGAGTGTAAGCCTGAGTGGGTGTGACTGTAAGTATTGTATTTTTTGTATTAACACCTACATCCAGTCACATACACAACCTTGATTGATCTTTTATAGCAGATTAGACTTATTTTATTTTATTTGTGCTTAACTTTCTCGTGCTCATCGTTCACGGACCCGCAGTTGGGAGAAGAGAAACTATTTTTCTTTTGATGCTAGTCTTTGTTGGAAAAATCTATTCTTTATTTTGCTTTCTCCTTCCTTTTTGATATAGCCGCTCTGCTTCTTGATAGTTTTTGTGCAGATTCAACTTTCATACTTTACATCTGTCTCTTCTTTACTAACAATGGCAACAGTAACAACAAACAATGAGATGAGGTGTGTTTCTGTTTCTTTTTTGAGATGTTTCAAATGGACTAGGCAAAGAATAAAGAAAAGAATGCTAGTGTGTTTACGGTATTCATCTGTTACTGTACTGTGCTAAATGTCGACGTTTTCTTCTCCATTTTTTCTTATTATATGTGACTATATTTCTGTGAGAAGTTAGAGATCGACTGTTAGTTGTCTACTGTTTGCTTTAGGGGCAACATAATAGTATTTTTACTTGCCTACGTATCATCATGATCAAGCGCATCATTCGCTGGACCGGTGCACAACTCGCTGTACTCAATCTTTACGAATCGGATGCTATCGATGTTGAGACAGTACGTCGTGAGCACCTATCTACTCGTATCTACTTGAGTGTGTTGATAACTACGCTGCTTGCATTGATTATCTATACTGGCTTGACAGTGCGTACAAATACGATCACTGTCACCGATCCGAGTCAGATGCAATTCGAATATTTGATCGCGCGCTACACCAATACCTTGCAATGTCCTTGTTCGCAGATCGCTATATCCTATAAAACGTTTGTAAACATTGAAGTTACATTTCATCAAGTGTGCTCGAGCTTCTTTGTCTCATCACGATGGATTCAGTCGATCTATGCAGCCAATGTCTCTTTTATCTGGCCGATGGATGTGCGTACGACATTGAGTGCATTCTGGCAATTGGTCGCTGCCTTTTGCCAGAACTCGAAGATAGCGGTCACATATACACTCATCGAATTTAATTACTCGACAGTATTTAGTCCACAGGCAATGTCTTCTATTGAAGTGGCAGCAAAAGTGCAAACATCATTCAAATTCATGCTAGCTACAGCTCAAGCAACGCTCGGTCGAAATTTGTTAACTATTCGTCGTGTCACATCTAGCAATCGGCTTATTTCGGGTCTTGGTACCAATGGTGATCAGACTCCCCGAATTAATTCTTATGATGGTTGCTCATGTTTCAGTCTGGATGGTTGTCCGAAATTATCCGGCCTTTTCGAGTTTCCTGTGTGGGATACGGGGGGTAAGTATAACAGCCTGAGTCCAAACAAAACTGTTCCAGGTTTACTATTTGATTGTTACCCACTCGATGCCACTCTTGGTTCAACTCTCGAATGCTATTATCAGTCATCCTGTTTGGCTCTGATACATGCGATCTTCAACACTACACCTTTGTCTTCAACATCATCCACTCAGTTTTCAAGCAACACAACAATTCAGGCATTGTTCGATGAACTATTCATTGAAGAAGTAGAAGATCAAGTTTCATTTGCTCAGTACTACTTACAATGCAATCCATCATCGTGCACCTACATCAGATCACGTCGATTTGATCTTCTTTTCATGTTAAGTACAGTTATCACTGTATTTGGAGGATTGGCTGCAATACTGAAACTGATTGCTCCATTGATCATAAAAGTGATTTTTGCCTTGCGCCAGCGATGTCAACGGGGTGTAGAACAAACTGTTCATGCTGATATAAACTACGGTAAGTTATCATCTGTTACTTCATAGAAATTTTAAAAAAACCCAGGGAAATAAATTCTATAACATTCGATAGAAATCTGGATGACAAAACTATTCACGAATCCTTGGAATTAGGTTTTTTATAAATCTATTTTGCGGGACCATATCAGCCTAGTCGGCGAGTGGCAATAGTACTACCTTGAAACGCTAATGAAGAACTTTCGAGTGATATATAGTAGCACAGCTTTGAGAGTTTTAAAGTAAAAATATTCGATCATTTTCTGGTCCAGCATCACCATAGTATCACAAGGTAGTGGTTAGTATACAGGCATACGCTCACAGTCAACAAACCATGGCTCTGTGTTTAGTATTACAATCCATATAGAAATAAAAACTTTCGAGTTAGATCACTTTTAATCGAAATATGAAGGGACTTAAATCGATTCCATATGTACTTCCATTCTGACTTTCTTAGAAATCTCAACATACTTTCAATAAGGCATTGAATGAAATTTTTTTTGGTATTGAAAAATCTCTCACAAGATACAAATGTATTATTATAGGTCAAATGATTATCAATTTCATGCGCTCTATACCAAATCGAGTACGTGAACTGTTAATTAATGTGAACACATTCGACAGCTATTCTGAGCAAGCGCAAGTTATTTATCGGCAACGTATTTCTACTCGTTTTTATTTCGTCTGTCTTTTTGTCTCTCTGATCATTCTTGGTGTTTACAATTTCTTCTCCGTGCAAACGAAGACCATTACAATTTCCACTCCATCTCAAAGTACCTATACTGAACTATACCAAAATTATTCGGACTCGTTGCAATGTGATTGTTCTCAGTTGTCAATGAACTACAGTGATTTTATCGAGTTAACGCCCGTCATGCATCAAATTTGTTCGAGTCAGTTTATTTCATCTGACTGGCAAAAGCATTTATTACAAACAAGTACCCATATCATTAACAACTACTACCAGAGTACTACTAGTGCTTCATACTTTCAATTTCTCGCATCATTCTGCTTCCTGGCCACCAATACCATTACAGATTCATTACGCATATTCACCACCACTCAGTTCATCAACAAAGAAGTTTTGTCACCGTTTCAGTTCGCTGAACAAACGCAATCATTTGTCGACACATTTACAAACACAACTTTGAGTGAGTTTACGCGTATGTTTGCTCTGGTTCGATACGGTATTATATTCAATCAGTTCGTAGTAGGACCTATTTCATATGGGTGGCTTTATGTACAGTCAACCGGAGGTATCTCAGTTTACCCCGCTATACAGGTTAGACCATTAAGCTATTATCCTCCTTGCAACTGTGCACGTGGAGTATCGGGCTGTTTGTCAGGATCAAATTTCTATCAGAACGGAGCCACATCTTTTAACTATATCGCTGATCAACTTGATGGGTGTCAACTAATAGAAAAGACGCTCACATCCTCATTGGAATGTTGCTTTAGTCAAACGTGTATGACTCAACTTAGGCAATCACTGGCATTGGCAGGCTTGCCTGACACATTCAATATCACGCTACTTGATGTTAATCTGCCTAGTCGATTTCCAATTAATACATCAATTAGCACACTGATTAATGAACTTCTCATAGAAAACTGGATTGTCAATATTTCTTACGAAAAATTCTATCGTGGTTGTGCACCTAAAGTATGCATTTATACGCAAGAAGAACGACACGATATCTTTCTCCTCATATTAGCTATTATCGCTATTTACAGTGGTTTGAGCAAAGGATTACGACTGCTCGTTCCATGGATTGTACGCCTTGTGCTAAGCTGTCTGCACTGGAAGAAAAATCGAACAAACCATCAGCAAAATAGTGAGTTTAAACACAGATAATAATATTTTTTAATTGTTTTAGTAGAACCTAATGAATGGTCTTGGTCTGTGGGGGTACGGGCCAGATTTCTATCTTTCAACACCGCTTTTAGAACGTGTTTCACAAAAGGGTTATCTATCAGGCGTGGATATTTTCTGTATTAAAGCGTATTTAAAGATGTGCGAGCTTATTTTTGCTTTATCCTCTGCTATGTTGATATAATCCATTGATGGCATTGTTATTCATAGTTTTACCCAAGTTGTGAAACGTATCCATGTCGAACCACCCACCTATGATGGTTTAACTTTTTCCTTAATACGGAAGGTCGAGTATATTTAATGTAAAGCTTGCAACAAAATTGAAACACTTAAAAAGGTCTGGTAAACACCCAAGATACGTTTAAATCATTTTTGTTATTACGAAATTCTCTTTTGATTTCGCAAAACACCTCTTTTCAGTGTAGCATTTGAAAATGAGCTCTTATCAAAATAGACAGGATTCATTGAATCTCTACCGGAACTCAAACGTCAAATCTATTACTAATTACATTAACTGAATATTCTTTCGCTTTTAGATATTGGCAATCCACAACCGTTTCGTCTGTGCAATCTATTTTTAAAGATCTCCTCATTCAATTTATTTTTGAAACGATCGAGCTCAGCTGATACAGTGGTCCGCGAGCGTTTTTCGACAAGAATCTACATTGTGTTGCTTATAATCTCAATAACAGCAATCCTTATGTACACGAGCTTAGTTACACAAAGCCACTCTGAATATTTGAACAATCCATCGATCAAAGACTACGAACGACTACAAGCTCTCTATACAAACACACTACAATGTCCTTGCTCAAAAATCACTATTCCTCATCAATCTTTTGTCACACAGCTAAATGCAACTCTGCATCCTGTATGTACGAGTAGCTTTTTAGCAGATGGTAACTGGGCCTACTATCTCGGTAACATGCCTACTTTCCAAAAAGGGATACCTGCGATTGACTTCCGTCGGTGGGGATATAATTTCTTGGATTCGATTGGCTCGTTCTGCTCCCTAGCTGATTCAATTGTTTCAAACGCTATCACAAATTTTCAGGCCATTTCAATTGTCACCGTTCAACCATTGAGTCGCAGTCAATTTCAGTCTCAGAATGACATAGACATCGCCAGCTTTAAAGCAAACTTGCGCAATAATTTTGGTCAAACCCTTCAACTTCTTCGAGACACAATGCAAGGTAACTCAATTATGTCGTCCAGTGTCACTAACTGGTGGATGTCGCCACCACAACCCATTATCTACAACGGTTCGTGCTCTTGTGCTACCTCACGCAGTTGCATGGAACCTGCTGGCCTATATACACCAGATGGAAGATTATATCGTAGGGTATACGGGGTTATGCGCGGTTGTTTTCTACTCGAAGCATTTTTGGCATCCTCCCTCTCATGTTTCTTTTCGAATATATGTCTAAGGTCGGTTCTTCAAGGCATGCCAATGCATGATCCAATGTATACGGATTATATTACGGTGTGGTGGACTTTGCCAGTTTTTCTGGAGTACGATGCTATGAACAGCTCATTATTACAACACTTTTCTGCAGACGATACTTTTGAAACCATTCTCGGTGAACTTTTTATTGATGCTTGGTTGATTAATACATCGTATGAATCTTATTTCAGCGTATGTTCTCCTCGATACTGCACCTACTCAGTAGTGCATCGCTTCGACTTTTTGTATGTACTTACTACTTTTCTCAGTCTTTACGGTGGTATTGCTATAATACTTCGAGTTATCATTCCGCATACAGTACGTATCTTGCTTTTATTAAAAGACCGAATACGTGTTGGACCTTATCCATTATAAAGGCCTCATTCATCATAATCACTGTTATTTGACTCTTTGACATGGCATTCGCTATTAATATGCGGAACAAGAAACAATAAACTAGTACTTAACTATACATACGTGTATCTGAAAATGATTCATTCGAAACCATTCATAATGCCATTATTAAGCGGCATGAATGATCAGCTACCATGTATCTTTAATAGCTTTCGATGTGCTTACTGCTTTTTCTGTCTCATGACCGCTATTCTTTCTACTATTAAGCTGTATGTTGTGAAAAATATATGCTTTGTTAAGTGAAGAAGACAAATAAAATAATCATTTACTCAAACTTATTCTCTTATCCATAGGAAAAAAAGCTGCAATGATATGTTGTGGATGTGGGCGAGAGTGCAGGTATGTTTGAAGAGGACACCCCATATCCACATCCACACCCACATCTTTCGAATGAATAGAGATATGTTAAAACTAATGTTGATAAAATATCGTTATCAATTGAATTTTGACTTCGGTTTCATGTTTTCTCCAACATTAAATGTTACATATATGATTTTACTTACAAAAGAAAATCATGGAAGAATAATTTGATGTGTTTATGTATAAACGGCATCATAATAGTTGCTTTCTCCTTCGTACAATTTATTTTCGATTTCTGTCAACTTTTAATTATGATCTATGATTCAGAAATAATGTACAATCATCAATGCAATAGAGAGTATAAATTTGATAAAATTTGATGTGTTAAGCAAAGAAGATTTTTAATGCTGTGTGAATTCTGTTTCTTTTCTGTTTTTGAATGCGATACAAAGCAAAGCATTTAAAGAATTCTTCGCAAGTTTTTTTCTTTTTTTTCCTAGCTTCTACACATACACAAAAAAAGATTTAGCATTGATAAAGGATATTCTGAAAAATTTGTTTTAGATATTTTTTATCATCATTATTTGACTTGTGATATTGTTAATTAGATCTTTTATTTTTATTTTCAAAATGAATATGAACAATATAACAAAGATAAAGTTGATCGATTTCAATGGCATAGCAGACATTTGAGGATATGAAATAAACTTTTAAGTGAATAAAAGGCGAGATCAATATACCAATCCTCACCAATAAAAAGTACAAAAGATTTGAATTACAACACTTTTTAGTCAAAAAAGAAGAAATACGTAAAGCTTGATGATTCTGTAAATGTCTAACATATTATTAAAAAGAAAGAATTGATTGATTATATAGTTTTATCAAGGATTAGCAAGTGTAGTAACGTCCGCAGCACTCAGTTCTCGTGAATAAAGATGAAATCCATCAAAATAGCCATAAAAAGTGCCGGGAACAATTGACTTAGTAGCGCATCCAGTTACCCGTGGATTACTCAATGTCAATGTATTTACTGCTCCTGAAGCTGAATATGCCATCGTACATGTAGAACTAATTAAACTTCCATTGACATACAATCGAACACCATTTGTAGTCGAAAAAGTAGTGGTGACATGCGTCCAGACATTGGTCGACACAGCGGGACCTACTACATTTTTAACGGTACCGTCGTAACCAGCGTCTACTATTTGTCCACCTGAAGAAAATCCGATGAAATCAGTACCCCATCCTGCTCCATTAAATTGTGCCGAAACATGAACAAGAGTTCCTCCAACCGTTGATGTTCGTTGAACCCACAGAGATATCGAAAATGGATGATTTGAGGTTCCAAGAATAGGAAATCCATATAACTAAATAGGACATATTCACTAGTCTTGCCATTGTTTTAGACATATTTTTCTAGCGAATATTGAGCAAATGAGTTTAATAAAAGAAAATTTTGGAGAATTTTTAATAAAATTTTTTTTTACATATATATATATGTTACTCTAACGCAAAAATACATCGGGTGAGGATGAAGATAATACTCTCAGTCCTCGCTGATGCCCACACCCACTCACCCACACACCCACACACCCACACCCACACACCCACACCCACCCATACCCACCCACACCCACCCACCCACACCCACACCCACACCCACACACACCCACCCTCAAGATGTCTCTAAAGCAAACAATAGACAACTAACAGTCGATCTCTAACTTCTCACAGAAATATAGTCACATATAATAAGAAAAAATGGAGAAGAAAACGTCGACATTTAGCACAGTACAGTAACAGATGAATACCGTAAACACACTAGCATTCTTTTCTTTATTCTTTGCCTAGTCCATTTGAAACATCTCAAAAAAGAAACAGAAACACACCTCATCTCATTGTTTGTTGTTACTGTTGCCATTGTTAGTAAAGAAGAGACAGATGTAAAGTATGAAAGTTGAATTTGTCAAAAATTACCAAGAAGTGGAATGGTTATATGAAAAAAGAAGGAGAAAGAAAAAGTAAAGAGAATATTTTTCCAACAAAGACTAGCATCAAAAGAAAAATAGTTTCTCTTCTGCCAACTGTAATGCTTTCTTTTTAGTGGATAGTTGTCTAGTTGGACTTAAAAAGAAATACTTAGTCTTTCTAAAGTTCTGATGATCAGAATTTGAGAGATAAACAGTCTTCTATGAAATTATTTGCTTAGTTTCTCTACATTTAAACACTACAAATACCCATCCATGTTGCTCGATACCCAGTGGGTATCAAGCAATCATTTTGACGGTGGATGACGTTTCCCTTCACCCTTAAAAGCCCAACGGGGTTCCTGTGGAGTTGAGACAGAATTAATCACACAAATAGAGATTGTGAATCATCAGTATGCACATACCGTGGTTGAAACAGCTGAGTGTGACTAAAAATATTTTCCACCCAGATAGCCTGGGCGGAATACGACATTCATAATCTGTTATTCGCATAAGTTCCTAATTTGGTTCAGAATCACCATAAGTTCATTCTGATGATATTTTAAGATATCTTCAATCATTTAATACGGGAGAAATTCACAATAGCTCTGATTACTATGTCTAAAAATGTTAGTAAAATGGTACTTTTTTTTATAACGTCAGAATACTTTAGTCGAAGAGTTAAAAACGTGAAAAGTTGTTTTAAATTTTAGTATAGAATGATTTCTGATGATTTCACTCAAAATCTATACTGTATAGGTTAGAAGATAGGAATACCTGAGTAACCAATTATACTTGAAAAATTACGCATTCTAAGAACTATGTTTAGGTGTTTGATAAGTGTTTTAGTATAATTTTTTCTATCATAGTTTCACCCTGACTGTCTTCGTTCCGGAAGACAGTAGCTTTCGTGAATAATACTTTTTTCTTCGTTCTATAGCTACTAATACAATGTTCACTGGAAGGAATGTTCGGCTTTTAAGATTTCATATCCAGAATTACATCCACATCTTCAAGAGAGCATAGTCATAAATAAGGATTTCTAATCTCAAACAAAGAGATTTTTTTGATAATACGAGCATATGTGAGTGTATTTGATGGAAGATTGCTGCTGTTGGAGAGAGAAACACTAGAGGATTTAGTTTTTTTCTTTTAATTAAAATATGAAATCTTGCGAAATGCAACCGTGTCTGTGTTGAAGTTAGTGACTTCTGATTTTTACTCAAGTGTTAAGTTAGACGGATTCGTGCACATGGATACCTACAGTTCAGAGGAGAACTGATCGAATCTGTTTTCGATGTAATCTAGGCTGGAATCTGACATGAATCTCATTGTATCCATTCTTTTTCCATCGGATTGAATCCTTTGAGAGTGTCCATGACTTGTTGTTGTTGTTGATTGAAACTCATGATTTTAAAGAAATGCGTCAAGGCTTTCTGCTAGCATCAATAATTAGAAACGTTTACCACCTGTTTTTATTCTTTTCTGCTATGCCTGACTTTTCTGCAAGAAACAAAATCATTCAATGCTTCTCGCACTACAGATGGTGTGTTTTGTTTAAGGCTCGCACAACAGAAACGAGCAGAATATCATTGTCATTAACGGAAAAAGATGTGATCAACACTTTAGCGACTTGGAAAATCATGAAAGTACGCAGAATGAAAGTGAACTCAAGCGACGTAGATGGTTCTCGAAGGTGTCTGATTAGTCAATGACGATCTAAGTATACAATTAGTGCAAGCTTCCTGGGCCTGAGTGTGAGAATGGGCAGTACGAAGAGATCACTATAACTCGCATACCTACACCTACATCCCTGCTCATATAGAAATATCTTCTACTAACAGCATTTGTGCTTGACAAAAGAGATAAAACGTTAATAAAAGGTGGTGAATGTTAAAAACTATTGATCAAGAAAAGAGAAAACGTCAACCTTTTTTTTCTACACATTATGAGTGCGAAAACAAAAGTTTAAAGTGAAGAAGAATAGAATTGTTTTCATGTATTGCTCTTTTTAGATATCGGACAAAATCGATTATAAAATCGACAGAGCAATGTCAAACTTGGAGGAAACATCAACAGTACATTATAGTAACCATGTATGTTATTTAATTATTGGAAAGCAATACATATAAAAGAAATATTTTCTTTCTTTGAATGTTTCAGCCACAAATAGTGACGGTGAATACAAGCAATCTGATGACCGTTCCATCGGCAAGACCGTATGTATTTTCTTTTCTTTACTAGCCAATAGAAAAATTCTGTTTTTTAGGAAAATAACGATTACAAAAAAACTAACGTTTTGGATTATTTTTTGTATCATTACTGCTGTTTTGATCACTGTCGTCGTTATTATTTTGACGAAATATATAGGCGCAACAACAATAACGGGTATGCTTTTATCTACATGAAAATAGTATGGAGATAGTTTGTATGTATGACTGATAGAACATAAAAGTCGCTCGTTCTTGTATAAAAGTCTATGGTGTACTAGTCACTAGGTTATAGCAGATACAACTAATTGATTAGTTGCATCGATAATATTAATCGGTAACTGACATTCTCTCTTAAAAAATACTAGAAGTTGAAACCGGGCGCTTCTGGTTAATAGATTTTAAAAGATGGATAAATCTTTTCTAAGAGCTCATCATACGAATAAACATACTTGACGAGGATTTTATTTCTGTGCGGTTTTTCGCATAGCGTACAATAATAAACTTGTCATTGTAGATGTATTCGAGTCAGAGTTGTTGCCAGTCGATATTAGCCATCTATCAGAGAGACATATTATCAATTTGAGTTAAATCTGAGTGCAACTCAGACCTTGAAATCGGGTTAGTTTTTGATGTCTGAGCCTGATCCTAGACCGAGCCTTGAATAGTCCAAGCTCACCTGGCCCAGTCGAAGATTGAGCTGGCCGCTCCATTTCGAGGCCTAATGTGATTTCATATCCTTGTTCTTCTCAGATATCGACAAATGACACTTATAATAAATTCCATTATCGTATCATGTGGAAAAAAAGATGTGTATTAAAATATGAATTAGCATCAACTCGAAATTGATGTTTTTTCTGAACTATAATTTACTCGACTAACCCTGAGTATGATCCGTCGACTGAAGATATATAACGAAAAGTTTATTAGAATATAAAAAATCGAAAATGATGTCTTTTGGTCGAATAGTTACCTTCCATAATATCAGATCTCAAGCATCACAGCTTTTATTTCATCATTTTATTTGAAGAGAACATTATAGGCAGTATCTGAAAGGAATCGTCTATATATAACTTTCATGAGCTCAGCATAAGATTTATGAATATAAAACTAACTATCTCATTCTTTTAACATAATTAATGAGCAGAAATACGTGTGCAACAAAGAAGCTGCAGTGAACAACTGACGTTTTAAACATATTTTTCTCCTTTTTTCTATAAAAATCCAGCAACAGTGGCATCGACGACAACAGTAAAGATACCAATATCGATCACGGCGACGACAACCGGTAAGCGATAGACTAAATGATCAGTCCTCTATATAGCTTTTTCTCGAGAGCGTTGTTGCTAGGAAAATGTAGCTTTTGAGCTCACAAAATTTACCATGACACGTCGAACGGTTCATAACAATGACTGCATTCTTGTTTAAGGCAGTCAGTCAGTGGGTGTGGGTGTGGTGTGCGAGAAGAAGAGCCCTCAACACCCACACCTTCAAAATAGTCCATAAAAGAATCCTTCTACATTGCTCACATCTCTCATTGCATTGCCGATTTCCTAGATATGCGACTTCTCTTCGTCCTTTGTCAAGATGTCATCTAGTAGATACCAGCATCCACATCACTATCCCGTTCCTAGGCAAATAATAGCGTTTATTCAAAAACGAGTGGACACAAACGCTAAAGAGGGTCATTGATATTCAAGATGAAAAACTAACATTCAAACTGTAAAAAAAATACAAAAAAAAAAGTTATACGAATCCGATGAAAGAAAAACAAGCTTTTCCACAACTAACGAGAGAACACTCCATTTTATTTGCCATAAGATTGGTTATCACAGCGATCAACATATTATGAGTACATGCCCACTGATCGGATGATTCTTCTATATACTTTACAGTGGTATTAAGATCAATTTTTGTTTTCTACTAGCTGAATGCATTATGGAGTTTTATTATCAAGGGATCTATCAGACTGGCTCTAACTCTTATCCGATTTCTATAACAGCAGCCGATATAAATAGCGATGGCAACTCTGATATTATTGTCGCAAATGACGCTGATAGTTTTGGTCGCAATGTTATGGTACTTCGCAGTATAGACGATGGAGCGTTTACCAGCGGAATGGTCGTTGTAACTGGCATTCGGCCGCATCAGGCTTCGGTGATAGCTGCCGATATGAATGGGGACACCAAGCCCGATATTGTTCTCGCAAGCCAAGATGCTAACACCGTCGTTGTTGTCTTCAATAAAGGTGATGGCAAGTATGCTGATCCACTATTTTATAACCGCAACTCCTACGTTGACTTTAAGTTTCTGGTAACAGGCGATGTCAATAACGATGGCAACCTCGATGTTATTACTGCACTTGGTAACACTCTAATCGGTGTTCTTCTAAATGTGGGCGATGGCACATTTGCTGCGCAAGTGACCTATTTGAGTAGTTACACAACTAATGAGGGACCAATTTGTGTGGCAACCGGTGATGTTAATAGCGACGGTAATCTCGACATTATTTATACAAGTACTATTGACGGCAACATCGGTGTTCTCATCAATACAGGCAATGGCGAGTTTACTACTGCAGTGACCTATTCAACTGATTCTTCTCCGCAATTTGTTATAACAGCCGATGTCAATAACGACGGTAAACCCGACATCATTGTCTTAAGTCCTAATGACAACGACATCAGTATTCTGCTCAACGAAGGTAATGGCACGTTTGCTGCTCGAGTATCCTACAAAACCGATATACCAGTATATGCAGTAGCAGTCGACATCAATAGCGATGACAAATTGGATATTATTGTCGCTAATATTGGGGGTGGTGGCAGCATCGGTGTTTTTCTTAACATAGGTCATGGTACGTTTAATGATATCATAAAGTATCCAATGGGACCTAGGTTTTCCCCGACATCTGTTGCAGCAGCTGATGTCAACGGTGATAATAAGCTCGACATTATTTTCTCAGATGGTCAAAATGGTGACGTCGGTGTTCTCCTTAGCATGGATAATGGAACGTTTGCTGATCAAGTGGCATATTGGGCTGGTTATGGGCCATCTTTTGTGCAAGTAATCGATGTTAATGGTGATAATAAACCAGACATTGTTGTTCAAAACGTTGACGACAACAATGCTGGAGTTTTACTCAACACAGGTGACGGTACATTTGCTGATCAAGTGATCTATGCAACTGTCTATATGTCGAACAGTGCAGTAGTAGTCGATATCAATGGCGACAGTATGCCAGACATGCTTGTCGGAGATGTTTACGAGCACCACTTTGTCGTTCTTCTCAACACAGGCAATGGCATATTTACTGACCCAATAAGCTATTCAGTTGATACTCATACCGATGATGGACCCGCTTCTGTAGCGGCGGCGGATATTAATGGCGACAAAACGCTTGATATCGTTGTTGCAAACTATAATACTGACTCAGTCCGTGTATTCTTTAACACAGGCAATGATCCATTTGCATCTCAAGCGACTTTTTTAGCTGGCTCTGGGCCGAAATCTGTAGTAGCAGTTGATGTTAATGGCGATGGCAAATCCGACATTATTGTTGCAAATTATAATGATAACAGCGTCAGTGTCCTCCTCAACAAGGGCAATAGCACGTTTGCTGATCAAGTGACCTACTCAACTAATTCTGGGCCAAAAACGGTGGCAGCAATCGATGTCAATGGTGATGGTAAACGCGACATTATTGTTGCAAATTATGATGATAATAACGTCAGTATCCTCTTCAATAGGGGTGATGGCACGTTTACCAGTCAAGTCGTGTATGGAACTGGATTTGGACCGATAGATATGGTAGTAACCGATATAAATGGTGACGACAAACCTGATATTATTGTCGCACACTATAACGATTTCGATTTTGGTATTCTCCTCAATATAGGTAATGGCACATTTGGTGTTTACACGAGCCACATGGGCTACTATACACAAGCAGATCATCTACATTCACTAGCAGTAGGCGATCTTAATGGTGATGGTAAACTTGACATTGTTGTTGGTTTAGAAAACTACCATATCAGTTCTTGGATAAATTCTTGTCTCATTTAACACGAACTTATTTCTGTTCGGTTGGCATAACAATTTTCTTAATCATTTAATCAAACATTTCTTATTATATTCTTGATATAATGTAAAGTATTTTTCTCTCTAGTCTTGTTCATGTCATTTAGTTATATTTATATATATATACGTTGTCTTCTTTTGCTTTCGTTTGTTATTCACATTATCTTTTTCTGTTGAAATAAACAAAACTCACGTACAAATACAAACCTGGATATTCCTTCAATAATATTGTGCTACCGAACTCCGAAACACTTCATGATGAAAGAAGATCGAGTGTGGGTATGGGTGTAACTTATTCATCTCACTCACGCCCAATCCACACCCTTAAGTTGTTCATGATAGCAAGTCATATTTTCATCCACTATTGTCGATTTATTTAGATCACTTATTTGTTTACGAGTATCTCGGTTAAAGGAATTGACAGAGTAATAATAAAGTAATATTCTCCAAACTAAAAGCTTGATTGAGTAAATTATAGACAGATAATTCTCGTATGTACCATCATACAGCATGGTCCGCTTTGTACTCATTTCAAAACTCGTCTACTAATTTCAATTGATTCTGACTACTTTCTTGTTGTAATGAACACATTTGGATCAATTTATCTTTATTTTATTGAGAATTCTGATTCACAGTCACTCATTCTCAACCTCATATCGATACCTACACTCACTTTCAATATTCCTCTGCATATAGATGAGTTTGTAAAACTATTTTTGTTTATCTATCAAAGGTAAAACTACTAATCTTGGATTCATGTTCATTCGAAGAATCATTAAAATCATCAAAATTGCAAACTTCAATATGATTCGTACATAAATACTAAATAAACAAATTTTCTCTTCATATAGCAACTTAAATGTGTTCTACTTGGTTGCACAAACAACAGCGGAGAAAACTTATTGCTATAGTGTTCTGCGGATGGACGACAAAACTAAGAATGACAAGGAAAAATGAAACGGTGATTGGATGTCATATGAATGTAAGAATTCAAGATCTTAACTTTCCTATCACATTTTTTGAACAGTCATCTAACTCATTGACAATAAACATCAACTTTATTTTTCAAAGAATCACAGCATATACAAAGTGAATGACAGAATAATTGCAAGATACAAGAGAAAAGTAAGAAGAAACTACGGATATATATACAGTAAAACCTCCCTAAGATGAACACTAATGCGACCGCTTGAAAAGTGTTCATTAGAAGAGGTGTTCATCTTACAGAGGTTTCATATTAAATAAAGGTTTAGATATACACCATATAATATTAGTATGGACAAATGATAGCTATGCATCTTGATATTAAAATCTATTACTATTAATTCTAAAACACTATCTTTTTCAATTATTTCACATATTTATTCAATTATCAAGTGAAAAATAAAAAAAACATTTTTTTTATCTTTAAAATATTAAAAACCTATTTTGTTTTAAACAAAAACTAGTAAAAAGCATTTTTGTCTATTATTTACATCTATTTATTTTTTCTGAGAAAAGTCGGTAATTGAGATACTACCGACCGAGATTTTGTAGTTCGCAGTAATTGTACGATATGAAGCGTTATTTTCATTTTCACTAATTAACTGCATTTTTATAGACAAAGTTAACGTGTGTGTTCTGTTTCATTTTACAATCGAAGATAGAATAATGCATGTTGTCCTATCATATAGAATCGATTAACTCATCGCCGATTAATCACATTGTTTTGTTTGATCCATACATACGACAGAGTTTGTTATGATGAGTTGACCGTCAAAAACTGATTTATCATTTCATTAATATGAACAGTATATTTTTTCAGCTCTGTGTTTCATAGAAGAAAGTACAGTTAATCACTATATGTTCATTATATAGAGGTTTTCTTTTACAGAAGGGACTAAAAAAAGCGTTCATTGTTCAGAGGTCGGAGGTGTTCATCTTGCGGAGGTCTACTTACAGCAAAAATCGATCGGGGGGACCAAAAAATGTGTTCAAACCAGAGGTGTTCATTTTGGGAGGTTTTACTGTATTTTCGATGCTTATAAAGATTTATGAAATTATAATTATTTTCCAAATTTAATTGCTAATTTTTTTCATCTTCAAATATTTGAATCGTTTTTCGAATATTCAGAGTCATTCATTCCCTTATTATACAATGTCTACTCTTTCGTAGCCTTTATACCAACTCAAAACTGTTTATGAATTATATGCAAATTATCTTTCCTTATGTAATTTTCATAAACTATATCGACATACAATACTTGAAGCCAGTTTAGGAAGTTATTTTGAAATACACTTTCCTAAATCTCAATTTAATGTTCAAGTTCAACTTGTCAATCTACAAAAAATCATTATTAAATGCACGCAATGGTGTTTTATATTCGTCAAAATTTGATCATTTAATCAACGTTATAGCTCAAGCACCTAATTTAAATAAGCTTGATTTTGATAGGGATCATTTAGTGGAAATGAAAAGTTTTTTACAAGAAAATCATCCAGAAATATAATTCATGTTAAACTTGATATGAATTGGTCTTCTGTAGATTATTATATAGAATTCTTCTTAAGGGTGTGGGTGTGAGTAAAATATTAACCTCACACCAACATCCACTGCCATCTATCGGTAAATGATAAATATATTATCGTAGAACAATTAAGCTTATACACAACAATTAATTAAAATAAATTAAGAAATTTTTTTACTATAATTGTTTTAATACAAAAAAAACGTGTGTAACAAAAATTCATATTTTCATTTGCTTGGTACTTAACGAATCACGATGCGATTAAAACCCCTAGATAATCATATAGAATAAAAAGAGAATGGAACTATTGTTTTTTTGATACTATCAATTTTTCGATTCACACCGAATATTTATCCATTATCGATAGTACAGGATGTCGACAAAACCATTATATTCATTCCGTTTTGAACATTTTCAAATGGAAATTCCATATACAACTTATACTTTACATTTATATCCACCATGGACTTATATTATTTCATATGGTTCCTCTTTATTCTATATGTTTTTAATTCTGATTATTTTTCCATTCTTATCATCAAAATTATCAACACAAGCAAAAAATTCATTTGCTAAAATTCATCATACATTATTATTTTTATACTCATTTATTTCATTTATTTCTGCTTTATATTATTTATTTGATACGAATGAAATAAGAAATTGGTCAAAATTTCTTTGTAGTCCGATACCTTCTTGGCTTCGTCTAATATCGATAACATTTACTCTTTCAAAAATTTGGGAATGGTTTGATACAGCTATTCTAATTTGGAAAGGATACTCATTATCAAAAATTGGATTTCTTCATATTTATCATCATGCAACAACATTTTTATTATTCTTATGTGCTATGAATTTTCCCGGTGCAGAAAAAAGTGGAATGTTATTGAATGGTTTTGTTCATACACTTATGTATTATCATTTTGCTTTTCGTTTACCAAAATTTTTACGACCATTGATAACAACATTACAAATTGTACAATTGCTTACAGTTACTTATGTATGGCATATTGTACCAAGTTCATGTCCAGCAGATCAACATTTTCCTAAAAAGAATTTTGTGGAGTTTCTTCTACCATATCTTATCGTGCCAGTGTATTCTCTTTTTTTCTTCAAGTTTTTTATTGAACAATATCTTCTGTCACCTTCAACAGTAAAAACTGAATGTTCTTCAAATAAAAAAGAATGAAAATAAACAGATAACATTGATTATCAAAAGTTCGAGATTTCCACAAGGGCAACAATCATAAAAGATGTCTTTTTTTATAGACTTTCTTAATAGTATTATGATGATACATATCAGAATCATAAAATCAAGTAGATTTTTCTTATTTCATTCATAAATAAAGTATTCATGAAATTGATACATTGGTAAGTGATCTCAATCAAAAGCTGAAGATGCATGTTTGATGTTATAGGTTACAACGATCGCTGAAAATCAGCAAGAAAATAGACATAAATGGTACACATGAATACAAATCACTATTTATTCTTAAACATTTGGTTTGTATTGAAAAGAATGAAATAATACGATTGTTGTATTTATTATTTCATATCTAGTTACGTTTTGGAGATACTGTAGATTATTTGATGATTCTACTTGGTATTATTACTGCAATTGTCTATGCTATTGGTCATTTGTTTTTTGTTCAACTATTTGGTGAATTAGTTAGTTTATTTGTTTTACGTGTATCAATTATTCATTGTCCTGTTGCTAATCCAATTAACTATATATCTGACAACAATTCGAATATCAGGTATTTTAAATAATATAATACATTATTTTCTTATAGTCTTTGTCTAAATTGAAATAGTAATGATTCATTCAATACGGATGTTCATACAAAAGTAATTCACCTTATAGGTACGTACATTTTCATCAATATTATCAAATCATTCTCTGTTATTTGATGTTTAGTTATTGGTCTAATTCAAGTAGTATTCAGTTATCTTCAATATATTTCATGTGAATTATCTGCAACGCGATTGACAAATCGTATGAGAATAGAGCTTTTAAAAGCTACTTTTGCTAGAGTATGTCCAAAATCTTAAAAAAAAAACGTAATATTTATTTTCTATTATTCTATAGGATATTTCATATTTTGATACTACAGAAATCTCAATTAACAATTTTTTCGAGTAAATTGTGCTTAATTAATCTTATATTACTGAAGTTTTCTTTCTAGTAATATTGCCACCATACAATTAGGGATTGGATGGCAAAGTTCAGTGGCATTATCATCTATAATTTTTCTTATCGGCAGTCTTATTCTTGCATTTATTACTGATTGGAAACTTACATTGATTGTTATTATTGCAGAACCATTAAGTGTCGGTGCTGCATTTATGTTATCGAAGGTAAAAATTTCTATCGGAAGAAAAAATAGAAAAAAATTCTGATTTTTAGTTAACAGCTCAGACAACTATTTCAGAAATTAAATCGTATGATCATGCCGGACAAGTTGCTCAAGAAGTTTTTACAGCTTTTCGAACTGTCACAGCATTTAATGCACAAGATAATGAAGAGAAACGGTAAATCAATATTGAATATATATGTCTCTTTACTTCTATGTTGACATGTTAGATATGCATCAGAATTAAAATATAATACGAAATATGCACTTCGTAAAGGTTTTATCTATGGTTGTTATGTGGGAATAATTTCAATCTTTACTTATTGGACAACTGCACTCGGTTTTCTTGCAGGAATATGGCTCAAATCAACAGGACGACATCCAACACTCAATATTACTCAAATAGTTGTAGTACGTTTTTCTACTTCTATAATCCTAAAAATCAATACTTTCGAATGTATTATAGGTTGTTATATGTATAACTGAAGGATTACAATTTCTTGGTTATCTTGCTCCAAGTATGAAAGCATTTTTTGATGCATGTAATATTGCTGCTCCAATTATTCGATATATCGAAGATACAAAAATCGATAATATTCTATCATTAAGTATGAAACCTTCGCTAAAATTGAAAACAAATCAACCAATTGACATTGTCTTTGAAAATGTTTCATTTTCTTATCCGAGCCGGAAGAAAGAATTGGCATTAAATAATATCAGTTTCAAAGTGAAAGCGGGTACAACTGTTGCACTTGTTGGTAGTTCAGGCAGTGGTAAAAGTACATGTGTTCAGTTGTTACTCCGTTTCTACGATTCAAATAATGGACATATCAACATCAATGGTCATCCAATTCAGGAATATGATAAAAATAATTTACGGCAAATTACTGGCCTTGTCAGTCAAGAACCGGTAACATATTCTTATAGATGAAGTATTTAAAATTTATTTCTACTTCTTGAAAAAGATTCTTTTTGCAACTTCAATCAAAGAGAATATCAGTTATGGTAAAGATAATTCAACGTTTGAAGACGTTATTGAAGCAGCTAAACAAGCAAATGCTCATGAATTTATTATGAAACTTCCTCATGTAGTTATTATCATTTTTTAATTTTACTTCTAACTACTTCTTTGCTATTAAAGGAATATGATACATTAGTTGGTGAACGAGGTGTTCAATTAAGTGGTGGACAACGACAACGTATTGCTTTAGCACGTGCTCTTATTTGTCAGCCAAGCTTATTATTACTTGATGAGGCAACAAGTGCACTTGACTCTTCAAGCGAAAAACTTGTTCAAGAAACACTTGATTGTGCTGTTCAAAATCGAACAACAATTATTGTAGCTCATCGTTTATCAACAATTCGTTATGCAGATTGGATTATAGTTATAAAAGATGGTTTGATTGTTGAACAAGGTTCACATGATGATCTAATGACAATCAAACAATATTATTATGAATTAGTCAATAAACAACAAATGAAATTAATCAGTTCTGAAATAAGAAAAGTACATCTTGCAGAAGAAATTGATCAACCGGTAATAAATGGTTAGTATATATAAAGAAATTGTCTTGAATATGTTTGAACCATTTTATAGATATTCAATTATCGAATAATGTAGAAGAAATAATTACTGAAGTTCCACAAGTAAAATTACTCTTTATATCATTAATATTCATTTTAATTTTTTGTAGACTGATTCAAATTCATTTTATGCATTGATCAAATTATTCAAACTTAATGCACCTGAATGGCCTTATTTATTGATTGTTTGTTTAACTGGAATACTATCTGGTGGATCTTATCCAGCTTTTGCTTATTCTTTAGCCGAAATGATCAGTGTAAGTGATTCATTCACAAAAATACCTTTCGAATTATTTTGTTTCTTTTAGTCATTTGAAGAATGTATTGTTTCAGCACAAATGGATCGAGTCATTGTTTTTATAAGAATTATATTCATATTAGGCATTGCTATTATAATAATCAAAATAATTCATGTAAGAATTTACTAAGAACGAAAAAGCTCATATATTTTGATTTTCTATTTCTGACTGAAAGTATGTATGTTTGGCTGTAGCTGGTGTACGATTAACGAATCGAATACGAGTAAAAATATTTGGATGTATGCTACATCAAGAAGTTGGATGGTATGATAGGACTGAAAATAATACTGGTACTCTATGTGCACGCCTATCTACAGATGCATTAGCTATTCAATCAGTGAGTATTATATTAATTGACTATAAAAAGTGTAAAATAAAAAACAAATATGTTTAGTTAACTAGTGCTCGACTTGGTTTACTCATCGAATCATTATCACTTTTGGTTATTGCTTTGATTATTGGATTGATATTTTCATGGCAATTGACATTACTTGTCTTTGGTTTAATTATATTCGCATTTATTTTTGCTATTTATGAAGTTCAAAGAAAAAGTAAAGTACAAACATTGATCGAAACAAGGTTAGCAAATGCTAGTGAAATTCTTACACAAAGTGTACGCAGTATTCGTACAGTTTTTCAACTCAATAGACAACAACATATATTAAATGAGTTTAAACATATCATTGATCAATTCTATGAGTAAATATGGGTATAATTTATATTCTATAAATTCATCGAATTTTTTTTTTAAGTATTACACAATCGAATGTATTTAAAGGCGGTATATCATTTGCTCTGTCTTATCCAATTGCTACATTAATTTTACCTTGTCTTGCTGAATTAGCTGTTAATTTACTTGATAAGAATCTTATCGATCCGGAACGTATTGTTTTGTGAGTTCTTTTTATATTCAATAGTGATCTTGTTTGAACATATATTCGATAGGTTATTTGCTTTTGTACCATTTGCTTTCGATGTAATTCAAGTATCAACAATGATGTAACAGAAATATTATTGAATGAATAATATGAACTTTCTCTTCTAATATATTTCATCAATAGTTCAGCTGAATTAGGTGGAACAACAGCAGCAGCTAGAGATATCAATCAATTATTTGAACGTATACCTTTGATTGATAATATGGCAACAGATGGAAAAATACTTGTGAGTTAAAATAAAACGGAATAATGACACTTTGTTGATTGTTGTCTAATGAACAGGAGAAGTTTTCTGGATCAATTCAATTCGATAATATTGTTTTTTCTTATCCAACCCGAAAATCAGTTAAAGTACTCGATGATTTTCGATTGATAATTCAACCTGGTATGTATATTTTGGATTATATAACGTCCTATGATATATCTTCTCTTTAAGGACAAAGTGTTGCACTCGTCGGTAAGAAATTCTTATAAATAAAAACGTCATCTAATTTCATAAAGGCTCAAGTGGATGTGGTAAATCAACCATGGCACAATTACTCGAACGATTTTATGATAGTAATCAAGGACGTGTAGTATGTAATTTCGTTTCCTTGATTAGACATACTTTTTTTCAAAATGTAGTTAGTGGATGGTTATGATATAAAAACATTGAATTTATCATGGTTACGTTCCCAAATTGGTCTTGTTAGTCAAGAACCAGCACTTGTATTAGGTCTGTCAATTGGAGAAAATATCTCGTATGGTTGTTTATCAAATACATTTCATCAAACAGATATTATTGATGTAGCTAAACGAGCTCATTGTCATGATTTTATCGAACAATTACCACAAGTATGTTACTTATTCTTAACGACAGTTCGATTATGTAACACTTGATCTGTATGTAGGGATATAATACATTGGTGGGATTGAATGGCACGTCATTTTTATCTGGAGGTGAAAAACAACGTATCGCTATTGCTCGAGCATTGTTTCGTAAACCAAAAATTTTACTACTTGATGAAGCAACTAGTGCATTGGACGTACATAATGAACAGGTAAAATTTATATACCTTTAATTGTATTAAGAAATCTTAAATGAACAATATTTTCTTTCACTTCAGTTGGTAGAAGAATCATTGAATGCTGCAAGACAAGATGATCCATCACGAACTGTGATTATTGTTGCTCATCGTCTATCCACTATTCAATCATGTGATCTAATCTGTGTTCTAGGTCCTAATGGACGTCTATTAGAAAGTGGTACACATATAGAATTGATGGCACGTGGTAATGCATACTATAGATTCGCACACGATCATGTGATGTCACGAAGTCACGTATGAAAATTCGTTCATTTCATTCAATAAAATAAATTAAAAACAATGTTATTTCTTTTATGCTATGGTCTCGCAAAAATGCATTATTTCTTAAAGTTTTTTTAAATAGCATGCATTGGGTGTGGGTGTGGGTGTGAGTTAAGAGTAGAAATGCTCACGTCTTATAGTACGCTTGTTTTGAATAAGTAACCCGTCATTTCCCTGACTCATGCCAATTACATTTGAAATAAATATTACTCATGTTCTATTTCATGTAATTTCATTATTGCATGTAATTGCATAATTTATAATGTCGGTATAAAGAAGAACAGAGAAACGTATTGCATACATCATTGATAATAAACGTCGTTCTCACAGGTAAGAGTCGCTTTGATTTACATTTTTTGCGTTAGACATGAGAGAAAATGTACTAATTCGTCTCTTTTAGTCTTTGTAACCAAGCAAATAATATACAAAAATGACTACTGATCAGTTAGCTTCTGTCGGTGTTCGATGTATTCCAGATAATCCTCACGCGGTTATTGGTGTTATGAATGCCAAGAGAGCTCGATTTGAAATCGAAACAAAAAAAAATGAAAATGCTGCAGCAACTAAACGAACTCCAATTAACTTAGCATTAGTACTCGATCGAAGTGGTTCCATGCAATCCAATAATAAATTAGAATTTGCCAAACAAGCTATTATTTCCGTCCTTGATTTACTTCATGATGATGATGTTGTACATCTTGTTGCTTATGATGATCATGTCTGGAATGTATTTGAAGATGCACATGGATCAGCTCGTCAAGTTCTCTATTCAGTAGTACGAGGTCTTCGAACAGGTGGTCAAACGAATCTATCAGGTGGCATTGAAGCAGGAGCTAATCTTCTGGAAAAATATCCATATCCAGGATTTTCTAAACGTATGTTCGTCCTATCAGATGGATTAGCAAATGTTGGATTGAAGACAAAAGAAGAAATCATGAAAGCTGTTACGAAATATAATGAAAAAGGAATTATAATTGATTCGTTTGGTGTTGGAGAAGATTTTGATGAAAGAATAATGAAAGGTATTGCAGAGGCCGGACGTGGTCAGTTTTTCTTTCTTGAATCAGCCGATGTTATTGTCTCCTTGATAACCAAAGCACTTCAAAGTGTCTTTGATGTTTGTGGAACACAAGCTCAATTAACTATTCGAGGTCGTAATAATGCCATTGTCACGAAAATATGGGGCCATGAAAATATTGCCTGTGGTGCTAATCTTGGCGATCTTCATGTCGATAATCTACGTGTTATTCTTTGTGATTTTACAGTTTCAGGAACGTTGTCTGATGGTACTGAAATCGAAGTTCTTGATTATCAATTAAAGTATCAACGTCCAGATGATATTGATGAAGAACCAATGATAGTTTCTGGTACATTATCAATAACCTTCGTTCATGATGCATCACTTGCCGAACAAATCGATCCGAAAATTCAAACCTTACATGCAGTACAAATGGCAGCAGAAATGGATGATAGAATTGCTCAATTGATTACTGATGGCAAGACTGACAATGCAATTACACTTATTGCTGAGCAAATTACTCTTCTTCAAACAGTCGAACATATGGACGACGAAAAGAACATGATTTCAATGTTAATTCGCATGGCAGAAAACATGCAAAAAAGATTGAAAGATAAAGCGGTTAGTCAAAAAACAGCAGCGAAATACTACGGCCATCATGGTCATATGAAAAAATGCTATGATCACAAATATACAGGTCATTATGCCGATGAAGACTAAAAGATACGATATTTTCTTATCTATTCCGATTGTCGAACTGAATTTTGCTATTGATTCATTTTGAAATAGACAAGATATTTTATGATTGTAATCAGAAATAAACAGATTGAATACTCTTTAACATGCATATATATCTTCATTCTCATGTATTCTTTGCGATACAAATCTTGACTTGAATGAAAACAATCTCGCATATTTCAAAAAATATGGCAAAAATGAAGAGATATGAGTCGATGTGTACCATCTGTAGCGAATGATTATATATTTCAGAATCTGAAGAGTTGGAATATTAAATTGATTTTTCTACAGTACAGGCGTGCCGTATACAAGAAGAAGGCATATATTAACATTTACAGAAAAAAAACGAGCTGAATAAAATAATAAAACGATTTGAAGTTCGTACGCAAATCAAAAAGCATAAGATAAATCGTCAATTTAGAAAACTAATATCGAAAATCTAATCTGTTGAGGGTTTGAAACTGTCCTCCTCGTTCATCTTGCTATGCGGAATAGTGAAAAAAGATTTTTATAAAATAAAGAATGACGATCTGCTTTTTCTGAAAAATATATTGATTATTAAGTAGTATATACAATTTACGAGTAGAATGTTATCGAAAAAATAGAATGAAGTTTGTGAATTAATTTTAACAAGCCAATAAAACACCGACATTGCCACTTCCTTGATTTGCAACAATAATGTCGATTTTGCCGTCATTATTGACATCGACCACGACTACATTTCGTGGATTGGTACCAGTTGCGTAAGTTGTTTGTGCAGCAAACATACCATTACCTGTATTGAGGAAAACGCCGACATTGTTACTACTATAGTTCACGACAATAATATCGGATTTGCCGTCGTTATTAACATCGCCCACTACCACATTCAGCGGGAGGGATCCAGTTGAATACGTTGTTTGTGCAGTAAACGTGCCACTACCTGTGTTGAGAAGTACACCGACATTATTACTACCAGAGTTTGCAACAATAATGTCCGGTTTGCTGTCGCTATTAACATCCACTACTGCTATACCGTACGGATTGGTGCCAGCTAAGTAAGTTGTTTGTGGAGCAAATGTGCCGTTGCCAACGTTAAGAAGAACACTAACGTTGTTACTAACAGAGTTCGGAGCAATAATGTCTGGATAATTGTCGTTATTAACATCGACTACGGCTACACTGTACGAAGTGGTGCCAGCTGAGTAAGTTGTTTGTGGAGCAAATGTACCGTTGCCGAAGTTGAGAAAAACACCAACGCTATTACCATTAGCATTTGCAACAATAATGTCAGGTTTGTTGTCATTATTGACATCAATCACTTCGACATCGTATGGACCGGCGCCCGTAGAGTAAGTTGTTTGGGCAGTAAACGTACCACTGCCGATGTTGAGGAGAACATTGAAATAGTTACTATTAAGGTTTGTGACGATAAGGTCTGGTTTACTGTCATTATTTATATCGACCACTGCTATACTGTCTGGCTTTGTGCCTGTTGAGTAAGTTGTTTGTGTAGCAAACGTACCATTGCCGGTATTTAGGAGAACACCGACATTATTACTATTCACGTTTGTGACAATAATGTCGGGTTTACTGTCGCTATTGACATCAACCACTGCCAAACCGAACGGACCTGTGCCAGCTGCATACGTTGTTTGTGCCATATATGTTGTATTGCATAGAGCTATTGCAAACAAAAATAGTTTTTCTTAGCACGTATGCGAAAATACACAGATAACGTCTCAATAATGCCTTTTAATGCGCCCTCAGCCTGCTTGTAGCCCTCATATGAAATTCTCTTATGGTCTTCATCTAAATGAGGAACAGTGGATAGCTAAAACCAAAACTTTTACATTTGGTTATTTCTGGTATTTATCATTTTGAGGGACTACAACTCATCTAGTGTATTACTAACCTAGCATTGTTGTTGTCGATGTCGTTGTGGTTGTAGTTGTTGTGGTGGTTGTTGTTGTGGTTGTAGTTGTTGTTGTGTCCGTGGT